GTGGAGACAGGAAAAAAAAAGTCATGGAAATTGATGATGGCTCAGGTAGAAAAGGGAAGATTTTGAGAGATCAGGTAGACCGCACCAGGAACTGCTGAGGGAAGGAAGAGTGACAAAGCAGTTCACACAACTAACCCTCATAGCCCCATAAAACCCACTCACGAATTTTGTTTCATTTGAACAACTAAAATATGTTGGTTTTTCTTTATGCTGAATTACAGTTAATTCCAAACAGTTTGGCAGAACTTCTGGATTGTGATATTCTGATCTGAGGTTGAAACAAAATGCATTTTCTGTTTCATCTTATCCCAAATGACAAGCATTATCTATATCCCTGTGGAGGTTTTTTTATGCACTCTCCTGCATATTCAACACTTATTCCAACCAGAGTTTGCGTTATAGAGCATGATTAAATGTAAACAAATTGCATACCTGGTTATTTTACTTTTCTTTACTTTATAAGGTGAAAAATGTACTGGATGAAATTTTGGAAAAGCTGCCAGAAGAATTTAATTTAGCTGAGATAATGCAAAAGTCTGCTGTACGAAGCCCATATATTCTTGTGTGTTTTCAAGAATGTGAAAGAATAAATATTCTCGTTAGAGAGATACGGAGATCATTAAAACAATTAGACCTTGGATTAAAAGTAAGGAATATATTACTTTATTGTTATTAAATTTATTGCCACCTATCCTATCATGGGCTACTCTCTATATACATGTACTACTAGGAAAAATTGGATCTTAAACTGGTATTGTAAATGTAAATGTTTGTGTTGGTTCAAATTTCTAGGGTGAGCTAACATTTTCATCTAGTATGGAAACTTTACAATCATCATTGTTCTATGACGAGGTACCAGATGCGTGGACCAGTCTGGCTTACCCATCTACTTACAGTCTTGCACAATGGTAAATGCATTTCTTTAACCAATGGATCTCTTTAGTTACCTTAAAATGATAAATTGTATTTTTGAAAGCAAAAAAAGCATTACATTTCAAAAATCCTTTTGAACCTTAAAATGAGCATAACTACATTAGTATGATTCTGCATGTCCTATAACATTTTGATGTCTCAAAATTTAAAAGATGAAGTTTCTAAAATTTCTCCTAGATCATGTATTAATTTGTTCTGAATTTAACATATATTTTCTTTTTTATTAGAAGGCAATATAATTCATATACAACAGGCTGCTCCATACAACTTGTATGATCTACTACCAATAACCAAGAATATAGATGTCAAAGTGATATAAATTATATAATGCAAATTATTCTCAAAATTAATTTCTTATGTTTACCATTACTATATTTTTATTCAGGTTTAATGACCTTCTTCTGAGATGCCGAGAACTTGATACCTGGACACAAGATCTTGTGCTTCCTGCTGTAGTGTGGCTTTCAGGTTTCTTTAATCCTCAATCTTTTTTGACTGGTATGTTAATATTGATTCGTTATATTTAAATGTCAAGCAAAACATGCTGCATAATAAGGCTACAGTTTTAAAATAATTTCAAATATTTTTTTAACAGCTAGTTTCCTTAAAGTGTCACAAAGTTCAAACACCACAAATTATGTCAAGTAGTGAGTAGGCACCCATATGGATCAATTGACTGAGAGAGTGACCAAATGTATGAATGAATACAACTTATTAAAAAACTTATCAAGGGGTAAGGTGATGGAAATCCAATTGACAGACAATAAAAGACACTGATATGCTGAACAGATTTGTACTCACTTTTCTTATGAGTGGAAATTAGTGTGATTTCTAATAATGTATGAAAAGTGACATAAGTACAAGTAGGGCATGGATAGACATTTGATGCTAAGCCATATTATGTCTTAGGTGTCATACAAATTGCATCTATAGAATCAGTGATTTTTTTTAAAAGAAAAGGGAAACAGCAAAGTATCAGAAGCTGTTTCAGTCTTAAAATATATTTTATTGAAATTGACTTTTTGTTAATAACTAATATATATTTATTGCTACAAAATTGGATTAAATAATTTTTCCTCAGGAACAAAAATCCTCATTTCTCATCTTTACATGACCTTATACATAGCTATTGAAAGCACGTTAGGTGCAGTGTTAAGGCCACAGGCTAGAAATTGGGAGATCATGAGTTCTATTTCCACCTTAGGCATGCAGCTAGTTACCTTGAACCAGTAGCTTTCTCTCAACCCTAGGAAGGAAGCAAAAAAAACACCCTGCCAAAAAAGAGAGATTTGTCTAGGTAGTTTTCAAGAATTGGACACAATGAGAGGGAAACGAATCCATAGTAATAAGTATGCAACCCATAAAATAATTTGTATTAATCATATCTTCTTGAAAGCCATTATGCAAACTACAGCGCGAAAAAACAATTGGTCTCTGGATAAGATGTGCTTGACTACTGATGTTACCAAAAAGAGTAGAGAAGATTATGGTCATCCACCAAGAGAAGGTGCATATATTTTTGGACTTTACATGGAAGGTAAGTTTATTAAAATTCTGTATTAACTATGATCTAGTTAGAGGACCCACCTGTAAAAAAATGATCAGTGTCAAACATATCAAAAAGAAGTATATTTTATAGAATCAGTGAAAAGTGTAGTAAGTTTTCTGACTACAAGCAGTCCTGGACATAGAATCACAGTAAAGGCCAGAACTTCTCAATTTTAAGTGATGCAATAATTAACTAAGCCAACCTGATTCTTTATGAACTTTTTTGCTGCATCATTAAGTAACTCGCTGTGGTCATTAAGCGAATCACAATGCTGTTAAGCAAATCCAGCTTCCCCCATTAAGTATGCTTGTTGGAAGTCCCCTCGGAAGGTTGTAAATGATGATAATGTGACTCTGGGACAAGGCAACAACTGTAAATACATGCCAGTTTGCCAAGCACTTTAATTTTGATCATGTGACTTGCAAGGAAGTCTTAAGTGTGAGGATCATAATGTCACTTTTTTCAGCACCATCCTTATTTTGCATTGTTGTTGAACAAATGGTCATTAATCACAGACTATCTGCAAATTTTTTTAAAAAAATGGTGTTCACTATTTAATAATACTGTGAAATGAAGCACAATAAAGTAAGAGGATATTCTATGCTTGCTGCTCAAATTTTGAAATGTATGTTATCTTTTCAACAGCAAGCCCCATTATTAATAAAAAGAATACAGAATATCAATGGGATTTCAGGCACAACGAAGCATGCAAATTGTAATTAATATTCTACCTAGCTAATTACACACTTATGTCCTGCAGAAGTTAAAATGTGTATTTCTTGGTTTCAGGAGCAAGATGGGACATTCAAGCAGGAGTCATAGCTGAAGCTCCTTTGAAGAACCTGACTCCCATGCTGCCCGTCATCTTTGCCAGAGCAATTCCGGTAGAGAGGCAAGAAACCAAGCACATTTACAAATGTCCAGTTTATAAAACTAAACTTAGAGGGCCCACCTACACATGGACTTTTAACTTAAAAACCAAAGAAAAGCCATCCAAGTGGGTGCTTGCAGGAGTAGCCTTGCTTCTGGAAGCTTAGCAATATACTTGCAGACACCCGTTGTATTATTTACAGCAAGGTAGCATAGTTCACACATTAAATCATGTATATTTCTGTTTGAAATGACCACAAACAACTTTCAAAATAATGCTTTTATTGAATTCTTGTTTTATGCAACAGCTATAGTTACATCACTGCACACAGAAACAGTACATATATACAAATGAACATGCAAAGGATTAAGTCACTGAGTCATACATGTTACATATGTAATATGCAGATGAACCTTTGGTTTACACCCCCTTCACTTGAGGGAATAACATTTCAAGTTTCTATAAATGGCACATATGGCCCCAGACAGAATGTATGCTGTAAGACGAATACAAGTTATTTTCAGTCACTTGTATGCTTTGCATAACAAAAGCAAAAAATAAATATATAATATAGCTGTATGCAAAAACTTAAAATATCTTAATTATAATCAGAGTAAAATATGTTAACTATGGTAACTACTTTAACTGGGATTGCAAAAATACAGAACACTACAATTTTGTAGCAAAAGCATATAGGACTCTTAATTCTGCTGCCACCTAGTGACCTTCTGTATTTTTGCAAACTATAGTTAACCAAAAAAAAAAAAAGACACTATTAAGCAATGTGCAGTTTTCTTTCAATGAACATTAACAAAAAAATGAAAATAAACTTGGCTTAAATTTTAGCCTAAATTAGTCATTTATTGTCCTGATTAATTTGCTAAGAGAGCACACTAAATATGAAAATAGTCAACACCACATCTGATGTGCAAAGACTTATATAATTTTCTTCTTGCTGTTTATCCTGTGAAGCTCCTGGCCATAAATCAACTTTAAATCCAACAGAACTGAATGACAAATTTCAACAAATATATGTTCAGACCAGGCTGGTCCTTGAAAAACAAAATGGCCACTTAAGAAGCACCTTTTTTTATCATTAGAGCAGCCATGTCTTTTCCTGGACTTTTGTAACCGTTTCAGAACTTTGCTGCTCGTTTTCAGTTGGTAAAAATTAAACTGGGCTGAATTATGCCCTTACTAATTTTAAACAATATTGACCTTTATAGCATTTTTCTGCATGTAAAGTAGAACAAACAGTTATTTGGATTGCTTGTCTTCAGAAGTTTAAAGATCTGACTTAAATTACAAAGGTCAATTTACTATTTATAAACTTTCTATTGCTATTACTAAACATTTTACTATTACTATTTCTAAATATTTTAGAATCATATTTCTAAACTAAGTCTCTAAAGAAAAATATTTTTAAACAGTAGATCATTTATTATATGCAGGAAAATATTGCTGTTCCCAATATTAACAGCCTTTTTCCTTAGAAATATTTAATAAATCAAAAGTGGTTATTCTACATTTCTGAAATTATTTAAACATAATGATTATAAATGAAAGTTCAAGATTTAAATTTTTAAGTAAATATAGTATATGCATAAATCAACAAGATCAGAATTCACACAGGTGTCTTGGATATTTTCAGTGATTTCCATTAACATGATGATGCATTGGCAAACTGCATAAAGAAGAAAAAACAAAATGTTTAGAGTTTAAGAAAGCAAATGTAACTATTATAAACTTTATTTCAAAGAGCTATAATGCCACCAATTGTATTGTTCCAGCTTCTAATATAAATAGTAAGTCATGGTCTTTATAAGAAAAAAGCAAAATCATTAAATGCACTCATAAAATTATTTTTCAAAATTAAAAGTCTCTTAATTTTTACAAAAATATTGGACAGGGTCTTAGAATATTTAGAAGGGATATTTTATTTTAGCATTTACACTCTTATTAAGACTCAGAGACCATATCTTGCTTTAAGGTTTATTGAACGTCTTACTCTTTCTTCACTGTTCATTGGCTTTAAAAGTAACTTATCCAAGCAAATAAGTCTTATTAGACAAATATATTCTCAGAAAATTTAAGAGACCCTGGCGTGGGAAGAAAAAACTTTCTTATAGGGAATGATGTGAAATTGGAATTGGGTGAATGGGTAAGGGGGTGGGATATTGTAAAGTAGAAGTTGATTGTCATGTATGATTGTACCTGTGCTGGAAGAAGGTGATCTTTGCCACCACCCACCTAACCGCTTGTTATTGTCACTCTTGGATAAAGATTAGCACCAAGGACCCCTCATAAAAAACTTAATTTCATGCAGCTGCCTGGTGGGTTTTTTCATCTCAGCTCAGAATGGAGCAAGTAAGGAATATAAATATTCCAACAAGCACATAAAGTAATTATAAGCTCAAATAAATAAAATAAATACTTGTGGAACAGCATGTCTGCAGGTTTTGTGAAAAATCTATATCAACACAAACTCAAATTCACTCTCTGAGTCAAACTACTCCAAAAGACAGGAAAAACAAGAGGAGCAATAGATATGCCACCCTGAAAAAAAGTATAAATCTAAATAAATAAAAGTAAAATAAACATAGCAAATTAGACTATTACATACAGTGATTTCTTAAAACTGACAATATTGGAAATACTTCTGATACAAATTAGCCTACAAAAGTTTAGGTATAAGCTTACCTTTCAAGGTACTCCCTTACATTGCTATAACCATAACCCTTTGCCAAGTGGATAAGTGCTCCCGTGGCACAGTAACCATCACGTTTCCGACAGTGGCTGCAGTTGCATACTCTACGGCAAGGAGGGCACATCCACTCCTTAAAAATGGGAGAAGAGTATTAGTTCACCTTATACGTTGTATTATCACATAAGTATAGAAATCACAAAGCTAGTGCCTGCATAGACACAGTGTTGCATGCTTGTGAAGAAATGTATAATAAAATCATATCACCAATAATTTCACTGTAAATCCCATTTCATTATATATCCCACAATTCAAGCAACTAGAGAATTACTGGATTCAGAAGTGCCACTTTCACATCTTCTCCATAGCGATTACGGAGACATGGCCCGCAGAACTGTCCCCGCATAGTGACACAGTCTTCATTACGACAAATTGTTTTTGTATCCGTTGTCTTTTGGCGACACTGATGGCACGTGGTTCCCTAATATTGGGACAAGTGATAATATGTTTAGAAAGCCACATCTAATACATATGAAGATAAACATGGTGCTTTTCATAAACCTATTCCTATTATTCTGATAAAAAAATTAACAAATTATCCAAGAACACAGATAATTACACATTTTTGTCACTGGAATATTTAAAAGCCTTTTTCATAACTCCCAATACAAATGCATGTTTCAAATAAGGCAAGATGAATTAGATAATACATTGAACTGGAATGGGAAACCAATTTATAAATGGAATTTTAAAAGCCTGTTCACTATATTCGTTCTACAAAACTGTAGCAATATTTCAGGTTTTACAAGACAGCAACACTAACTCTAACCCAAACTTAATATAATGCTCACAGTCATTTCATTCTGGGGAGATAACAATTATGCAAAAATTAACATTATAAGCAATTCCAAAATTCTATTTTTTTATTTTGCTTAAATTCCTGATACGTATTTACTTCTTTTTTGGGCAAGCATTTCTGCTAATACCTTGACAAGATAAATAACTTATTGGTAGTTATTTTACTGTCTGTGCTCTAAGAAATGTCAGTATAATTATAGACTGTAATTAAAATATTAAATACTTCACAGTACACTATGACAGTGGGAAAGATTAACCCTGTTCATGGGAAGGTGAAAGAAAAAGTAATTCAACCAGTGTAAATAATACTGTGGCAGCTGGATCATTATATAAATGTAAAGATAAGTCAAGAACATTGTGTATATAAAGAGGGTAAAAAACTGATTAGATCTAAAATATTGCATTCATTCAATATATGTCAATATATAAAGAAAACAACCTACCAAAATCTTATCGCGGATTTTATCTTTATTGGTATATGCAATATTTGCCAAGTCTTCATTTGTTATAACAATTGATTGAAGTGCTGCGATTGATAATTTTCCTTTTTTCGGCATTTGTAAAATACGCTATAAAAAAAAATCACCATCTCTAAATCAAATGCAGCTACAAACTCTATTCAAGTGGACTTGCAGCCTAAATAGGTGTATAAGATTACCCACTAAAATATTTATATTTTTGAAAATGTAATGTTTATGCTTGTCTTAAGAGTAAGACAATTTAAAAAAAATTATCTAGTGCAATAAATTATACATTATGTTTAATTATAAATTGTTTCTTGAACTATAGAGTAAGTTTAGATTTTATTAATTTACTATACATTTATTCTTTTTATATTCTCCCTGTTTTTTTCCTTGACTTATTTTTCTGAAAATGTCATTCTCCCCCACTAATTGACTATTATACTACCACTTAACGATAGCACAAAAGATGAGAAAATATTGCAAAAAATATTTTTTATTTTATATCCCACCTTTATTATTTTTAAAAATAGCTCAAGGCAGCTAACATTCCTAATTTTCCTCGTCCTATTTTCCCAACAATAACCCTTTGAGGTGGGTGGAATCACTGGCCCAAAGTCATCCAACTTGCTTTCATGACTAAGGAAGGATAGAACTTATGAAATGGTAAATGGAAGAGTTAAGTGCAATTAACTTCATGCTTTTTATGGATTGTTCTCCAACCAAATCCAAAACTTCATTCTGTTTCCTTTTATACAATTATACCATTTAAATCCTGACATGGTTAGCATTTTTTAATGTAGAAAAATCTGGAAGTAGCATATTCAAATTTCCAGAGGCAATTTAGTGAAATTGCTCCTGGATCAGAATAGACAAAGTGTCTTCCCCAGTATATTTTGGACTAACCTTAACTTTCAAATGGTTCGTCCAGCTTATCAGTTTAATCCAAAGTCTATTATAGTCAAAGAATATTGTGATTGGAACAGCTTGTAAACCCAGCAATCAATCGACTATAAACCACAAGACTGGCTACTCATTACCTGGACCATGATAGACACTACACTATTCACTTAAATGTTGAGCTCATGCTTGATAAGTTCTATCCTTGCTACCTGCGAATTACCCTTTGTTAAAATAAATCCAAAACATAATTTTGGCATGTACCCCATTTAGTTTTCTCTTCAACGATCTGCGGTAGGTTTTATTATCAAGGTACTTCACAGGTAGCCTTTTCTCCACACCAAAGTTTTCTGGGGGACGAGCACTCCTGGTTGGGTTAGTTCGACGCTGTATTGGGTCTCTTGAAGATATGTTCCTTGGTTTTTTCTTTCGTTTCTAAAACAAGAGAGAGATTTTCTTTATGAACACATAGCCTGAAGCAATAGCTGATCATAGCCACCTTGTTCAATCCACTTCAAATTCTTTTTTTAAATTTGCCTTTTATGGCACACTGCCAATCGCTATACATTTTAGGAGAGTATGTAACAAGAACAGATATATATTTGGACAAAACTAGAAAAAAGGTTGGAGATAAAAAATGTCTACCAATATTAATTTCAGAATTCTTTGTTCTAAGAGAAAATATCTGAAGGAACATGAAAAAGAGACCTACCATTTTCTTTGTTTTGCTGTATTTAGGTTAACTATTCTTAACTACAACATTCTATAAATTACTTATCTATGTGTATTGTTACTGAATTGGTGAAAGAGGTGCACAAAATTGTGAAAAACTAATCTTGGTTCCTTCAGTTAGTCTGTTATCTTCCTAAATAGAGTATATATAAATTATGAAAACTTTTGAGTCTGAAAAAAATACACATATGTATAAATAAACATACTAGAAAAAAAAATTCTGCAAATGCAAGTGTAGACAGCTGATCCTTTCTGAGTCATGTCTGACTGAAAGGAAAAGTCACAATTTTATGACTTTATTGTATTTATGCTTGGTCCAAATAAAAAATATTTTTTTAAAAAAAGCCTGCAAAAATTAGTGATATTATAGTCAGTTTTAGAAATGTAAAAGAAAATTTTGAAAAAGAAAATGTATTCATAATTACCGGAGCCGAGGAAGAAGTCTTCGTTTGGATTGAGGGAGGAATAAAATCTAGTTCTGCTAGTAACTGAGCAAGCTGAAATGGGAAATGGCATTGATTTGCTCTATCAATCAAATACTTCTTAATGGCAATCTTATCTATATACTATTTCATGATGCATTTTTTAAAATATAAATCCTTACATTTTTAGAATAATTTTAGTCATGTATCACATAATTTAAAATTGCACTATTAGTTTCACTGTTCAAAATATTACAGTGAAAGTTTGGAGCTAATAATAAACTTATTCATATTTCCAAAGTTATGGAAACAATTACTTTATGTATTTATGCCATGCTAGCAGGCTTTGTCATTCATTTGAAAGGGAAGGACAACAAATTCAAAGCATACTATGCTTTTCACGCTGGCACAATGGTTTAAAATGTACTAAGTAGCAATATATGATTATATGCCATTATAAACATAAGCAAACATAACTATTTCAGTCCTTCTTCACCCAGTGAGTGAGGAGGAAAGGCAATATAAAGGCAGATGGCCCAACAAATCTTGGCATCAGTCTTATCTACTGCAGGTATGAAATTCAAGGAAAATACTTGGGACCTTTTAAGCAGAACTTCATTGAAAAACTTTAGGCATCATTTTTTTTAGTCATATTAACCTTCCAGCATTCAGAGGAGTACTATGTGATATAGTGTTGAGTGCAACCATAAGAACAAATCTATAGGTAATATGGAATTCAAACCCAAACAAAATAGTGAGTCTGAACTACAGTAATGTGTAAGTTAGGTTTGAAAATGGTTTGTTCGTACTAATACAATAATGGGTAGTCCATCCTTGAATCCCTCACTAAAATCCAATTAATTTACCTGAGTTAAATAAAAAAATATGTTTGATAAAACAAAAAGAGGCAATTAGAATTACATGTGTCATAACTTCTCATTTCTGTTTTTTTTACTATTAATGCTACCTAAAAATGCTGAATTAGTTCTTACCACAGCTTTATTTTCTTTTATATTCTGCTCTCTTTTCAAAAGTACATTAGAATTTTCATCTGATGCCTCATCTATCTCAGAGTCAGAAGAAGTATCTTGATCTTCATTTCTCCCATTTGTATTTTTTGTTTGATTATTGTTTGATGAACAGAACTTGGAAGAAGTATTTTTAGCTGATTCCTTGTTAGGAAGCTGCAATGCCCCCCGAATTTTGAAGCTTTTTTTCTTATAAGATGATTGAATTTCCATTTCTTCTTCCTTTTCTTTATCTTCCTCCTTTAAAGTTGGGTTGTTGTCTGGTTCTAATTCCATTGCCTAAAAAAAGATGAATAAATAAACCTATGTTATAGTTGCTCTTCCATTATGAAAAAAGCTAATATTTTATTTCCCTTAGCTACACCAATCATATTAAAAGGTATCTTTTAAAAATATTTTTACTTAAATATTCATAATTATCTGATTTTTAATCAGTAATTTCATATGAATTGTTCAAGTTGGCTTGGTACACAGAAAAGGAGCAAAAGACATATGGCTAGAATCTACATTAGACAGCAGAAAGTATTGTAGTAAAAATATTTTCACTTATAGATCCAAACAAGAGCCAGCTTACTGTTACATCTAACTAATCAATTAATTAAAACATTCATTTGTTTGAAATACTGTAACAAAAAATGCACTGCAGAAATTACAACAGTTATGTAGAAAACATATTTAAGTCCATAATCATACACAACACTAAGCCCCATTAAACACTATTAATAACAAGTATTGGATGACGCAGTAAAATCAACTGCATATTCATTGGAAGAACACTCCATAGAGAAATAGAAATAGAACCTACAGCTACAAAAAGAAGAAAAATTCACTATTTCAGTTTTTTCATTTGATTCTACTGCATTTTAGAAAGCAATTCTACAAGAAAAATCAAGTTGCAATTTAGGTCATGAGGGTTACAAGGAATTTTATTTACTGGATGAAAACTCTGCATAATTTGGTACAAATTTTTCCCCTACCATTCCTGATGTTCCAGACAAATCAACATTCTCATTTCTCTTGTCCAATGACAATGTTTCAATGGGAATGTCAGGTTCAAAACCAAAAAAATCTTCTTCATCGCTTGGGGCATTAAATATGTCAGCCAAATCCATCATCTGTCCAATTCATTAAAAAATATAAAATAGTCAGCTTGCAAAAAGTAACCATTTTGTACTATGAATGTTACTATGTTGTTAATTTTCTACTCAGTTCTACTCCTTAAGTTACACCCAGAAAAACTAATAAATCAATGGAGAGGAGAGATGCTAGGCAGATTGATTCAGGTTGCAAAGTAGACTAAGTAATAGAGAAACAGAATTCAAAAATAACAGATATGGAAACTGTGCACATATAAGCAGCAAATAGTTATTAATTGTCTGAAGATAGGGCAATAAATATAAAAGACAAATGAGAGTCAATTGTAATCTAGCACATAGAGTATTCTTACATTTAAAACCAATATACATTATTGTTAAGCCCAAATCTACCCAAAAATGGACAATCCCATCAGCCAAAATAGAACTTATTATAAGACAATTAAGGGGCAACACTACATAGTAAGGTATCTTAGTGAAATAAATATACCAGTTGTTGCACAGAGCTGTAAGGACAAGTTGACAAGCATTGTTGGACTGAGCAACAATTTAGTGGCATTCCAGTCCAGGTCATCATTATCTATCTGCTGTGACAGCCATTTCATTTTCTCCAGGACTAACAGGTACATAGCCAAAACAATGAACATAATTATCAAAACATATGGACATTATCAGAATAGTTTGAAGATGTCAGAGGAAAAAATAGCATTATATATATAATTCCTTAAAAAAATAAACCCACAGAGTTCAGCATGTTCACTCACAAAAGTGCTGTTTGGTGAATACATTGAACAGAAGTATCCCATGGAAAAGACAGAAGAAACTTCTTTTGACAAAATCAGTGTGATGATCCTCTGAATTAATATTGTCCACACTGGCCACAGCTCTCTGGAATTTCAGATCACAAACTTTCTCTGACTAACTAAAAATAGCAGGAATTGAATCATGTGCTCTATTAGTGAAAAAGAGCTTTTCTCTAATATATAAGCCAAGATTGTTCTATAATTCAGGGGTAAGCAACCTTGGCTCTTTTATGACTCGTGGACTTCAACTCCCAGAATTCCTGAGCCAGCATAGCTGGCTCAGGAATTCTGGGAGTTGAAGTCCACGAGTCATAAAAGAGCCAAGGTTGCCTATCCCTGTTCTATACTATTCTCAGTCCTCTTTTAATATTGTTAGAAGTTTTTCTCTATGAAGCTTTATAGGTTTTAACAATTTAACAGAAAATGTACATGAAGAGCTATGAAATCTAGCTGCAATGAATAATTGGCTTCTAAGAACAAGCCTATTAATTTTTACCTTATTGTATATTGAGCTAGCAACTGCTGTGATCATTATATGCTGAACTAATTTTGTCTTTGCATTTGTACTAGAAAACTCATTACAGAGTTGTAATTAATTATTAAAGGAAGGTGCATTCTCCAGGGAAGTACATTTTCACCTTCTGTGTAATGGATAGTAAGGGTGATAATGAAGTTCCAAAACATATTGCAGTCCAACCTCCCTATTTTGTTCTGATTTTAAGAATCATATTCAGGAGTTTCAGTACAGCCAAATACTTTAATTTAAATATGAACTATTCAATACATACCAGGTGTATAGTTAACAACTTTTATAGAGAACATAATAATGGTGCATTATGTTATCCATAAAAGAAAGCGTTCTTACTACACACACTCTTTTCTTCCATCTGCTTACTAAAGTTTATTTTTTCCATTCCATTTTAGCAATTTGGGCACAATAGCTAATTGACTTGACTACAGGCTTTTAAACCAACAGTTGAACCCCCTCTCTTCCCCCCATGAGTGTTTTAAACCAACTATAGTTTAAGATAAGAATCTATCCATTTGACACACTTGTCCAAGTCACAGTCTTTCAATTATTAGGTTGGACATCTGTCTTAATTTAGGGCATGAGATCAGTGGCATCACATCCAGAGAATTAAGGCCTATTCACCATCCTTCTCTGCCCAGCCTTCCATTAAGTAGAAGATCCTTGCAAGGCCATGTGAAATCCCCACCTGTATCATACAGTCAATCCATGAAACTCTATCTTAGAAACCCCTAAGGACATGATGGCAATAATCCTCTTCTACTGTTGTTCTCTAGTAACTGCATTAAGTAGCATTCAGCTATCAAGAACAGCAGCCACACAAAAGGAATCCCAATTTTCTTTCCAGATAAATTAGGGAAATGAATAAAATTACCCTTTTCGTCAGTTTGGCCAAGAGCCAAATGCAATCCCAGGTTTTTCTTTTCAGAAGGAAAAGCTGGATCCTAAGCAGGCAAAAAAAAAAAAAAAATAGAAGGGAGAAGAAACAGCAAACTTCAGTAAGTACAGCCAAGTTGCCCAAACTTGCAGGTTCCTCTCAATATTTTTTGTTCAAATATTCAGAATTTCTTAATAAGGCCAGAAGATATTCAATAAACTTTATTATTCAGCCACTAATAGGCAACCTGATATCCTTTTGATATGTTTCATTAATAGTTCCCTCAATCCCTGCTAATGCTTACAGTAATGTTTCTCAACTAATGTGCCTTCTAATTTTTAGCTTGAATTTCAATGATAGCTTAACTTTAGCTGGGTACCTGGAGCATTCAAACACCTGAAGAGTTCCCTGATTAGAAACGATTGAGTGGCGTATCTAAGAGCGCAACTTTTTGCATAGTCAAGATACTGTTTCTTTAAGCTAAAAAGAATGGAGCCCCACAGCTTTATCTGGCCACCTTTGCAGTTACAGTATCTGTAATGCGAAAATGCTTGATAGGCACCAGGTTGCCTATCCCAGTTTTACAGCTGTACAGATCTAGCAAGTATATAACTACTGTTTCTTTATGCAAGGATACAAATTATCTACCAGAAGAACCCCTCCTCCGTTATGAAACGCAGTTTATTCCGTGGACGCGAATTTGCGATCCTGAACAAACTTTCTCTAAAGTACTACTTCTTCTCAGAAGACGATCCGAGAAAGGGTGATGAGCGAGCAACCATTCCCTTACTCTTGAGAAAATTGAAACGGGCTAACTTTTCTGGGTTCAGATAGAAGCTTCGCGAGAGCTAGGCGCTCCAATCGCAGCCGATTGAAAAGCGCGCTCTCTGGCGTGTTCTCTTCCTACTCTCGCTGAGGGAGTTTGAAACAAGAACCGGGAGAAAGACCAATTCTTGGCCGCGTCGCTTCCAGCATCCTTCCCCCCACTTCCCCAAATAAATATCGATCTACCTACCGCCGGGCGCAAGTTTGAAATGAAGACGGTGGATAAGGGGGCGGTGCCCGGGGTGGAATCAGTCGGGTGGGCTGCGGAGAGCGCCTGGTTCCACCGGGGCGCGAGCACACGTGACGGGGCTCAAGGCGGAGACTGCAGGGCCCGTGGAGCATCCAGGCGGCTCCAGCCACGGGGGTGGGTGGGGGGGAGCGCTGGCGAGAGGTCCGCTCCCAAGGAAAGCGAGACCTCCCGAGGGCTCCAAGTCCCTTTTACGTCCACCCGGTCTACCATTAGCTTAGGTATTAAATAACGCGTCTTCCTTTAAATTTCATCCACACCCATCCGACAGGGGAGTTGTTAAAAAGAAATTCTTAAGTTATACCAAGTCCTCCAAAGGGACTTTATTTTGCTTCGGAGCGCTCCAGGAAGCTGCTGTGGGTTGCGTATATAAATGCAGGTATTTCTTGGAAAGAGATGCTAATAATTTAAAGACAGCTCTCTAAAATTCAATGAATGAGAACAATCTCAAATACCAAACTAGATATAACAATTAATTATATATTATAGTAATTCTTACAAGACATCATTGCCCAAAATTTTAGTCAGATGAGTGACTATATAAACTGTTCTTTCTGTGAGCTTACCTGGATTGCTATTGCTGGAATATTTTATTCCTTACCCGTTTGTCCTGAGCTGAGTTAAGAAAAAAAGACAGCTGCATGAAATTAAAAATTAAGTTCTTACAATTGATCCCAAGCCAATAAACCCTTCCCCAAAGGGAAAGTTAATTCCCTATCTTAATTCTGTCTTGAGTTCACTAGGTTTTGAGTCCACCTGAAGACTTCCTAACCAATTACTGGCCCTCCATGAGAGTCCATTTTTCTGGGCTCTCTCCTTAAGCATGTAGAGACATAATCTGCCCAGTTATGGTTCAATCACACAACCTTTCTTTTTTTC